CCTTTTCCTTCTGATATTGACATATTTATTGCACTTAGAAAAGGCACGAGAGAATGCAGTAAGCATTCACTCACTAAATCTAAAACTTTGTACATTTTGAAAAAATAATCCCCATCTTACAATAACTTTCCTATGAATCTAAATACAGTGTCTATTCTTAATACACTATTCGAGACTTTAACATTTAAGGAATGAGAAAATACCATGATTGTCGAAAGGCAGGCACTAGAAGAGAATCAAATATGGGAAGTGGTGGACTTATTGAAGGGAAAAAGACCTATATAATGCAAATGGGTCTTCATTATAAAGTACGAACCCGATGAAACTATTGAGAGGTACAAGACGAGGTCAATAGCTGAGGGTATAACCAAGCCTATGAGATTGATTACCAAAAGACTTTGGAACCGGTTGCAAAGAAGAATATGATATTTGTCCTACTATCCTTGACCGCAAACTTTAATTGACACAATTTGATGTGAAGAATGTCTTCCTGCATGAGGAATTAAAAAGAAAAATTTACATGCAAATTTTTTCCGAGTTTACCAAGGAAGTATAAACAAACAAAGTATATAAGCTAAAAAATGCATTATATGGCATCAAATAATCCCCCCACGATACAGGTAAAGGGAGATCATATCTTGTTCATTAATTGTTACAAGTAATGATGAACAAGAAAAAATGGTAGTTAAGCAATGCCTATTAAAAAATTTTGAGATTCAATAATTAAAAAACTAAAAATATTGTTGATGAACTTGTTGTGAATGACAAATGCGTCAAAGGCAATGAAGTTTTGAGGGAGAGGGCGAAAGAACACTTTTAAAAATTATTTTCCGAAGAATATAACTACAGACCAATCTTGACAATATCCCCTTCAAAAGACTAAGTGACAGTGAAAGAGATATACTTGAAGAAAAATTCACTGAAGACGAATTTTTGGGCTAGCTTAAGGAATGTGATGGGGACAAAGCCCAATGACCGGACGGTTTCAAAATCAAGTTCCTTCAATCATTTTGGGACATCATCAAAGCNNNTTTACAAATTGTTATCCAAAGATCTAGCAAAAATATTGTCAAAAGTATTAAAGAACATCATTAGAAACCGTCAACACGCATTCATTCCTGGGAGACAGATTGTTGATGCTATTTTAATTGCTAATAAAACAGTCGATGATGCCACTAGACACAATAAGAATGGAATTTTGTGTAAACTTGAAATGGAAAAGACGTTTGACTATGTTAACTGGAATTTCTTGGATTATATGCTTTTGAGATACTTAGTTTCAGACCCAAATGGAGAAGTTGGATAAAAATATGTTTCCACTACTAGTTTTGTTGTGATTGTCAATGGCAGACCTTCCACATTTTTCAATGCCTCTAGAGGTCTACGACAAGGGGATCTCCTTTCCCCTCTCTTATTTATTATTGTGATGGAGGCTCTGAATCAACTAATTGAGAAAATAAAATCATTGAACTTGATTAAAGGGATTATTGTGGACAACAGAGAACATAAAATAGAAATTGTACATATTTTCTTCGCTGATGATACATTAATTTTTTGCCAACCGGATTCCAGCTCTCTCATTTTTCTTAAATGTATTATGCTGTACTTCCAAGCAGTCTCCGGATTAAACATAAACCTACAAAAATTTGAGATAGTTTTGTTGGGAAACAGCTCCAGAAATGAGGATTTCAGTGTAGTTTTAGGTTGCAAGCAGATACAGTTACCTATCACTTACCTTGGGGTTCCACTTGGCATCAAGCACAATGAAAATAATTGTAAGAAACCTGTGATCGATTTGTTCAATAATAGATTAACTATTTGGAAGAAAAAATTTCTATCAAAAAGAGGTAAATTGACTTTAATTAAAAGCACACTCTCCAATCTCCCGATCTACTTTTTATCGATGCTTAACATACCAAGGGTGGCCAAAAAACTAGAACAAATCCAATGTAACTTTCTTTAAGGGGGCGGCGAAAATTGCAAAAAATACCACCTAGTGAACTAATTGGAAATTAAAAAACCCTTAAAAGAAGGGGGTTTGGGACTAAGACCAATAGTAAAACTAAACAAGACATTCTTGGTAAATGGATTTGGAGATACTAGAATGAAAATGACAACATCTGCAACATAGTGATAGACTAAAAATGATATAATAGCAATCCACAAAATCTCTCTTACATAAAAAACATCAATTATGGTTATAGTTTATGAAAGAACATCACTACACTAAACAATATGATATTTCAATGTTCAAAATGGAATATTAGTAATGAAAAAAGGGCTCATTTTTAGGAAGATATATGGTGCGGTTCAGAAAGATTAAAAGACAAATATCCCTTTATATATGGGATTGCTAGAAACAAAGTTATCAAGGTAAATGAAATTGCTAGTTCAATCATTTCTGCCTTCTAGAGTGTTCTGGTGATGAGAAACTTTTAAGACTGGGAACTAGAAGAATATCAGTCCTTGCTCCATTGATTGGCAAACACAGCTGCAAAATCAAAACAACAAACTGCATTGGAAATTAAAAAAAATGGCTTTTTTAGTGTCAGTTCTCTTTACTCATTTCTGGCCTGTCATAACTCTGATAAACAATATTCTTTCCCTTAAAAAATCATTTAGATATTAGGTGCCCTCCCCTCCTGTCCCCCCACGCACCACCCGAACAAAGAATAACTTTTTTTGCTTGGGAAGCTGCTATAAAGAAAATCCTCACAATGGACAATTTCATGAAAAGATGGCACACTACTGTCAACGGATATTTCTTATGCAAGAGATCTTTTAAATCATGCAATCATCTACTCTTGAAATGTCAAACATCTCACAAACTCTGGAGTATGATCCTTGGGTTTTTGGAAATTTATTGGGTAATAACAGATTCTGTTAATTCTGAATTTCTGGCTTGGGAAGGTTTGAGCAATAACAAAGTGCTTAAATTAATTTTTCTTACTATATTCTGGGTTATTTGGGAGGAGAGAAACAACAGGATTTTTGAGAGGATTGAATAAGATTTTCAAAGCACTAAAAGATAAATAATTTTATTATTTTATCTCTATTGTTTTAGGGCATAATCTAAACTGTTTTGAAGATCTAGATTCTATTGTAGATATACTTATCGACATGTAAATTTTTTGTAAATTGGTGGTGCTCCCTTAACACCTCACATCAATACATTTTCACATCTTTTATTTATATATATATATATATATATTTTTTTTTTTTCTCAAAACAGAAGTAGCCTATTCGAAAGCATGGATATTCATTGCACAAGAAAAGTATGACGTTGACCTTTTAAAAGAAACTAGTAAGTTGGTCAGTAAGCTTGCTAGCATCCAATTGATCTCAATTATAAACTGAGATTGGCAGAATAAGACACAGATATTGGCAGAAAAATGTACTAGGAACTGGTTGGAAAACTGATATATTTATCACATACCAGACCAAATATAACCTACATAATAAATATGATAAGTCAGTTCATACACAAGCTCAAAAAAGTACACTTGTTATCTACAGTGTATTGTACTACTTAAAAATACATTAAGAAACGAGATTATATTTAAACGAAACAAGCAAGCTACTTCTTTAAGCATAAATTGACGAAGATTATGCAGGACAATTAGTAGACAAGAGATTTACTATCGGATATTACATCTTCCTTATAGAGATCTAGTCACTTCAAAAAGTAAGAAGCAGAATGTGACAATGTAGTCTAATTCACAGTCAA